ACAGATAACAGACCACTTGTAATTTTAATGTTCTCTTTTAATTTCTCCTCTTAATAAGTAAAACATAACATATAAACATGACTAGTTTTTGCATCTTTTGTTTGAATTTGCAAATGTTAAATTTTCTAAAACATAGATTTACAGTTTATTATGTTATTTGTGTGCAGGTGGGAAGTATGTCCCCAGAGCCATCCTTGTTGATCTGGAACCAGGCACCATGGACTCGGTCCGCTCTGGACCCTTTGGACAGATCTTCAGACCGGACAACTTTGTGTTTGGTAAAAAATATCTGAAAGCTTTTTATAAAACATTTAAAAGTTGAACAGATTTGAGCGTAACTGTGAATTAAATAAAGAAATTTTTACTCTCAGGTCAGAGTGGTGCTGGAAACAACTGGGCCAARGGTCACTACACGGAGGGGGCGGAGCTTGTGGATTCCGTCCTGGACGTGGTGAGGAAGGAGGCSGAGAGCTGTGAGTGTCTGCAGGGTTTCCAGCTCACACACTCCCTGGGGGGCGGCACGGGCTCRGGGATGGGGACTCTGCTCATCAGTAAGATCCGGGAGGAGTACCCCGACCGCATCATGAACACCTTCAGTGTGGTCCCCTCCCCAAAGGTAACAAAGACCCTTACTGTCTAAGATCTGGACCAGAACTTGCGCACTCATCATCGAGTCTTGACGTTCCTCTTCTGTCTCAGGTGTCGGATACGGTGGTTGAGCCGTACAACGCCACGCTGTCCGTCCACCAGCTGGTGGAGAACACSGACGAGACGTACTGCATCGACAACGAGGCTCTCTACGACATCTGCTTCCGCACGCTGAAGCTGACCACGCCCACTTACGGAGACCTGAACCACCTGGTGTCGGCCACCATGAGCGGCGTCACCACCTGCCTGCGTTTCCCCGGCCAGCTGAACGCCGACCTGCGGAAGCTGGCCGTCAACATGGTGCCCTTCCCCCGCCTGCACTTCTTCATGCCGGGCTTCGCGCCGCTGACGAGCCGCGGCAGCCAGCAGTACCGCGCCCTGACCGTGCCCGAGCTCACGCAGCAGGTGTTCGACGCCAAGAACATGATGGCGGCGTGCGACCCGCGGCACGGCCGCTACCTGACGGTGGCCGCCGTCTTCCGGGGCCGCATGTCCATGAAGGAGGTGGACGAGCAGATGCTGAAYGTGCAGAACAAGAACAGCAGCTACTTCGTGGAGTGGATCCCCAACAACGTGAAGACGGCCGTCTGCGACATCCCGCCGCGCGGCCTCAAGATGGCCGTCACCTTCATCGGCAACAGCACCGCCATCCAGGAGCTGTTCAAGCGCATCTCTGAGCAGTTCACCGCCATGTTCCGCCGCAAGGCCTTCCTGCACTGGTACACGGGCGAGGGCATGGACGAGATGGAGTTCACCGAGGCCGAGAGCAACATGAACGACCTGGTGTCCGAGTACCAGCAGTACCAGGACGCCACGGCCGAGGAGGAGGGCGAGTTCGAGGAGGAGGTGGAGGAGGACGCCTGAGCGGAGGAACACAAGAGTTCAAACCAAAAATAGGAAGAAAAATGTGAAACAAAGTGAAGGAATGTTGTGCAGCAGAGGAGAAAATCAGACCAAATTAATGTGCCATAACTTCTGTTTTCTGTTCGATCCGTTTAAATCTGCATCAAAACCCAAAAACAAGCTCCCTCTTTGCCAAATTTATTGTTTTCCATGGCATTACCTCCTCTGACAAACAGTATTATCAGAAAATATCAGTTAAAAGTTCAGCTTGTATCAGAACAAACAGGTTTGTATTATTTTTATCAGGAAACACTCGGTGATAAATGTGAATTTAAGTTAAATGTTAAACCTCAGCAGTGTTTATTTACCTGATTAAACCTCAGCAGTGTTTGTTTACCTGATTATTTGCTTTTTTTGTCAGTTTTTTTGGTCAGAATGTTTACTGTTGAACATCTCAGTCGTGTCGCTTCCAGTTTCTTGTTTTCTTATTTAATTTTTTTACAAAAAGCAAATGTTCAATCCACACRAACAGATAAATATTCAGTTAAATGTTTACTCTGAGCTGTCAGTTTCTGTTCTCTTCCTGGGAAACGTTCAGGATCCTGTTGACCGAAAGGAAACGTTTGGGAGAAATAAAAGTCATTTGGATGAAAACCACTTCTGTTGTTTTTATACTTATTAACGATCGGCTTTTATCGTTTATGAACACTSGCAGGAAGTCATTTCTCTTTTTAATGACAAAGTGAGAGATGTGCTGGGCTCAGGGCCAGGATCCATTAAAAGTTTGATAATTACAGCTTCAGCTAAATCATCTTTTTATCATTAAGCTAATAAAAACTGAGAAGAAATGTCAGCTGAAAAAACAAATCTGGACCTGAACTGCAGCTTTGGTTTAAATTAATATAAATATATCTTTATTCAGCGCCAACTGCTGTAAATAAATACATCTGAGCACCTCTTCATTTAACACAAAAAAAAAAAAAAAAAGAAAAACTTTAGGTGAACATGCAGCGTGATGCTAAAGGACTACTCAAAAAGCTGTTAAAACTAATAAACAGAACACTAGCTAAAAGCTAAAAGCATTAAAAGGCAAAAATAAACCAACAATTACAGGTTAAATGTTGCAGAACTGTAGGTTAAAGTAGCAAAAAGCAAACTAAAAGTAGCCAAAGGGTGAGCTAAAAGCTAAAAGTTGATTTTATAAAAGCATTAAAAGGCCAAAGCATCACAACAGTAACTAAATGTTGCAGAACAGTAGGTAAAAGTAGCCAAAGGGTGAGCTAAAAGCTAAAAGTTGCTAAAAGCATTAAAAGGCTAAAGCATCACAACAATAATTAAGTAGCAAAACAGGTATAAATAGCAAAGGCAAGCTAAAAGTAGCTAAAACCATCCCAACAATAATTGTCTAAATGTAGCAGAACAGATAAAACTAAAAATAAACCAAAAGCTAAAAKCACTTAAAATCAAAAGCATCAAAACAACAAAAGCAGAACAGTGGGGAGAAGTAGCAAAATGCAAGCTAAGAGCTAAAAGCTATCTTATGAAGACCAAAACAGACATTTTGCTGAAGCAGATAGTTTTTTAAAAAATTGAAGAGATGTTGATGTATTTCTGAACATAAATAAAGTTAAATATTTTAAATTTGTAAATAAATAAATAAATAAATAAAACCTGAGCTGAATGTTGTGATGTATAAAAGTCTAAAACAAACTCTGCAGGGAAAAAATAAAAATAAAATCACTAAAAGACCACCTGATCCACCAGACTGMTGAGGTCTGGGGGGTCCAGATCTCCAGACTTCAGTTCGGTTCTGCCTCAGCATCCTGAGGCTCGGACCGCAGCTTCTGGTTCCGAGCCAGAAGCAGACCGGACGCTTTTTACCGAAGTTTTCCGATCGGAGCCGAACCTGGAAGCCTCTCACACCCGACATCAGCCGAAATCTTCCTCTCCTCCGGCTCTTCCTCGTGCTGAAGTGTGCTGCTGGCTGCCTGGGGGAGGTGTGCAGATTACAGAAATCATCTGATAAAAGCCAGATTAGCCCCTCTGAGCCCCTCCCGGTCCTCTGATCACCGGATCCAAGGCTTTTTAAAAGMAGGTAATTTCCATCTTTTCTTATAGAGCGAGCTTTTCTCACGCAGGGAGGCAGTGGGTTAAATTCTGCAGCTTTTCTTTGCTGGTTTTGGGGTCTTTGTCGGGACTGAGCGGTACCAGATGGTCGGTTCTGGGCGTGGAAGCAGGGTGGGATTTTTTTACAAATATAAAACGACAAAACCAGAAGGAAAACTTTGAATTTAAGCAAAATAAATGTAGGATTTCAGGAGACTGAGGCAGGGAGCCCCACTCTGCTCACATGGGGTTCATCTGTTAAATCTGTGTATTATTTAATTTAATTTAAACCTATAAGACATGAGATCTGCATGTTTGAGCTGCGGTTCTAGGTGGATGTTCGGGGGTATACCCACCCGCCTGGATGATGGGGGGTTTCTGGTCCACCCTGCTGGACAGCATTACGCAGTGCACACATTAAAGCTGCTGACTGCTCACATTCACAGCCTCACAGCTAAAATATTTACCTGAGGCATCAATTAGAGGCTCTAATTAAGGCAAATTTACATTTTGATGCGTCAGATTATAGGCTCTGAGCAGCTGATTGTTGCCTCATTTCTGTTAAATCTGCATCTTCAGAGAGAGAGAGAGAGAGAGAGAGAGAGAGAGAGAGAGAGAGAGAGAGAGAGAGAGCATCTAATCCTGAACATAAGAAAAATGCAACCTTGCATTCTCCATTCATGCCCTGCTCTCAGCTCTCACTTCCTCCATCTTTAATCTGTAATCCTGGATSCTGCCTCCTCACGACCCGCCCTCCTGTGGAGGGAGGSAGGGARRGAWRGAKGSMKGYCTGTGATCTGTGTCCAACCAACACATTTTCATGCTATAAAACAGATAAATCAATAGATTGTGTAACGAGCTTGGCCTTTTTGTTGCGGCATTTAGAACATCGGGGTGATTATTCTGGAAAACTGAAACTAATCAGATTATACAGCGACAGAGGAGGATTACAGTTCTCATGAGGAAACTCTGTTTTCTTCTTCTCAAATTGATCCTTTAATTAAAAATGTGTTTTTAGCAGATTCAGCTGAGTGTCTTTATTCAAACTGCAACATTTTGCAAGCTTTTTTTTTTTTTGCAAAAAACAAATGAAGAAAGTTGTATTGATGCATGTTTATGCTCAGATTTCTTGAGTTAAATCTGCAGATTAAATCGCTTTGTTTACATTGAGTGCAGACCTGCATTTCAGGGCTACACACCAACATTTGTGGAAAACTAAACTCTTTCAAAGTGCACGTGATGCAGCTCAGGCTAAGCTTTGATGATTTTACAGTTTGTAAYGAGAACCTTTAATGTGAGGGTGTGAGCTTCAGTTTGAGCGTCTCGGCCTGACTGAAGGACTCAGGAGGATAATTACCAGAGAAAAGAAGGTGTGGGAGGACTGGGCCGGGGAGAGGAGAGCAGATAAGGAAAAGGAGACAGAAAGATGAGAGAGCTGATGTAACCAGAGCAGGGAGGAGAAACGATGCGTTCGCTGCCGCCGATCGTGTGGGAGACGAGAGAATCGGGACTGAAAGGATTTTAAACTCATCATTCAGGACGGAGTGATGGGTTGAAACGACCTCCTCGCCTCAGGAGGAGGAGGCTGGAGAGCTGTCCGTCCTGTAATGTGTTCTGACAGGAGACAGAAGGACGTGACCCCACTTAGAGACAGATTTCATCCTGACAGGACAGGTGCAGCATCCTGACCTTAATATTATAATTTATCAAATAGGCCTACACAAATTACTATTAGAAATAAAAAAACTCATTAAATTATTATTAGAAATTAATTAATTTCCCCACCAGGGGATCAATACAGTGTATAAAAATAAATCCATCATTCAGTCTAATTTAAACAATAAACCTTAGCTTCACTTTGTGCAGCTGTTGCTCTGAACTTCCTGCAGTTTTTAGTTCTCTAATCTGGTTTTCTCTGAATTTCTCAGATTTATTTTAAACATGTTCATGTTTCTGTAATCAGCAGAGACTTCTTCTTTTGCATCAAATATAAACTCTCTTTGGTCCATTCTGTTCAGCTTCAACAAGCAATAATGGCTCTAATGAACATAAYAAAGCAAAATATGTCAGGATTTCTGTTTTACACTGATGGACTGAGTGCATTTACAGATTTAATGTCTAATGGGAAATCAGAAAAAGCAGAAATCTGTTAGTTTTGATCCTTTTAATGTCATCTACTGCCTCAATCATCTACTGTCATATTTTCTGTTTTTGATTTTGTTCTTTTTGTTTTTTTGCACTAAAAATCAGACTTTTTGAAGAGAAACCTCATGTCTTTTTGATTTATCAGCTTTTAAGTCTCCTCCTTCACTTTATATTTGAATTTCCTGACCCTCCAGAGCAGAAAGGTCAAAGGCTTCCATGCTTTCACAGATGTTTTAAACCTTGTTTTAATTTGCTTTAACTCCTTTTTATTTTGTGTTCATGTGTTGTGAGTGGTTATTCCCTCTGCAGCTCATTTCATCATAAAATCTTTTGTTTTGCACCTGAAACGTATTAAAACCATTTTAAATCCCAGCTCTGGTTTAATAACGTGACATAAAGCAGCTGAAGTGACAGATTTTGCTGCTGCAGAGTCTTGGCAGTGTTTGTGGTGCAGAGCTGAAGTTGTAAACTTTTGCACAGATTGAAGCTGACATAAACGCCTCGGCTGCACTAAAGGCCTTTTTAATTTAAACCCAATTAAAGCAGGCGAGCCAGTGTTTGTAAGTTATGAAACATTCGGCTGCTTGTGAGCGTCTTTTTGAAAGCTAAAAATGTCTTTATTTGTTGTTGTTGATTGTTTGTGTTTTTGCAGAGAAAGGCAGATGAAGATGAAAGAGGCTGCAGCTCTCAGCGTGGTGTTCTGCTGCGGTAAGCACAAAAATAATCAGTAAACATTAATGATGTGTAGAAAAGCTAAATTATGTTATGTTTTGTAAAGTTGTAATTATTGTTTTTCTGGGAACGTTTGAACAGAACCATGTTTCTTTCTTCCACAGTTGTGTCAGCATCTCTGAAAGGTAAAACTCRTTCCTTTCATCGAACGAGCAGAAATGTTTCCTGAGAACTAATAATTCTGTTTTCRTGGCAGTGAAAACGGAGAGCAGGACGGCCTTCTTCGGCGAGGACGTTCACATCGACATCCTGTCCCGGAACAAGTCCGAGGTCCTGTTCAGGCCCAGGACCAACYGGTCCTCCGAGGTGGCCCTGCTGCGGGCGGGGCTGCTCACCAACCCGGCCAAGGCTGACCTGAACGCCCTGGGAGACCTGGTGCTGAAGGACGTTCAGGAGGAAGACGAGGGTCTGTACATCATCAGAGACGGCAGCAACTCCAGCAAACAGCTGGTCCTCACCGTCAGGGGTAGGGTCCTGCTGCAGACCGCTTCAGGAGGGCACAACATGCTCCACCTGAGAAACTGACAAACATACAGTATATTAAATTAATGTGTCTGAAAATGACAGGAATGTTTGAAACAGTAAYATTGACACTTTTAATAATTTCAAAATAAATGAGTTTATTAGTTTGAACTTGTTTAGAAACTGAGATTCTGTCTAGTTTTTTAACAGAACTGTGGAATAAAATACAAACCTGATAAATCAATAATCTTTATTTTGATAAAAACAACAGATCAAATCAACATTATGATTTTAATTTCTGTAAAATATTTGACTGCTGGGCAACTTAATGGGACAAAAACACCAAATAATAATTGTCATGAAAAAAGTTCTGTTATCTGATGACAGAGGTGTTAAATTTGGTCTTTTATCTCAAATAAACCCAACGAACAGAGTTTTATTCACATTTTTTTGAAAAGTTTTTGTATATTTTAAGTATCAAACATTCATTACATGTCAAACTTTTCACCTTCAGTTTTAAGCTTTAAAGTTATTGCAGAAAAAATGTTTATATAAACAGTTCTTAAGTCTTTTAAAAGCTGCTAAACACTTTTATTCAGTCACTTTGCTGCATTATTTTTATGTTCTTGACTTTAAAGTGAACATATCCTGTTTTTAAATCCTTCATTTTCACGTTTAAATCCTTCAATTGGGGTCTTTAAAAAGTGGAACTACAATGATTTGGTCTGAATTCCTCGTTATTCTAACTTTACCAGCTCCTCTTTCACCACTTTTTTGCTGTGTGTCTCAAAGCAGCTCGTTTTGTTACTGTTCCTTTAGGACGCTTCAAGCCCCGCCCCCCTCCGGCTTCCAGACCGGTCCACTCCAGTTTGAGAGAGGGGGCRTTAGGTTTTCTAGCTCACAGAAACGTTTTATTTACAATTTAGTTAAAAGTGGATTTTGCAGATATGTCCTCTTTAATGCTTTGTCTGTATTTTTAATATTTCTGAGTATTTTATTTTGAAGTAACGTCTGCTTGTCTGTGCTGACGGACAGACTGCGCACTGGAGCAGGTGGTAAAATATGGAGACACCTACAACATCCACCTGAAGCACATCGAGGGTCCCATCACCCTGGAGTTCAGGTGGGTCCAGCTGGTTTCAGACCTGCAGGCTGAGGACCATCGGGTTCATGCTGAGGTTCTGGTTTCAGGTCCAGTYTGGTTAAAGTCAATCAGACGGATCTTCAGCACCTGTCCGAGGCCCCCCCGGTGGTTCTGTACAACGGGTCCGCGGTGCTGGGGGGGGACTACGTGGGGCGCCTCAGGGTGTCGGAGAAGCAGATTTCTCTGCACTCCGTCAGGATGACGGACGAAGGAAGCTTCGCCGTGTTGGACCGAGAGGGGCACACCAAGATGAGGAACTGTCTGAACGTCAGAGGTGAGGGGGTCCAGAGGGGGTCCGGAGCTCAGAAACACTTTTAGTTTCACATTTTTAACAGTTATAATTTAACTTTCTTTGCTTCTACATGTTCATTGATGCTCAAATATGACAGATTTCATGTTTTCCGCCAGTTCTTGATGCTAAATTAGCATCAGTAGCTTTTAGCTCCATAAAGACCCYCCTTCTCTCCTCCAGACCACCAGAAGTTCCTGCAGCTTTCCTACGGAGAAAACCTGAAGATGAAACTCTTCGTGGACCACTCCAACCTGAACGTCGTCTACAGGACCAAATCGGACAACCAGGACCAGCTGATTGTGGACCAGGGGGTCCTGGTGACGCCTCTGGACCCTCAGCTGGAGGGCMGGCTGACCGTGGAGGGATCAGAGCTCAGCCTGAAGAAGGTCCAAACGGCYGACATGGGGGTCTTCAAAGTGACGGACCTGGCTGGCTTCCCTGTGGCCCATGTCTACATAACCGTAGAACGTGAGGAACAAGTCTTTWAATAAAAATCATGCTTCATTTTAGATTTATTTAACTTTTAATGAGATYTAAGATAAGATGAACCAATTAGCTGCAGTTTCTATTTCTGTGTTTTAATGTAAAAACTTTTAGTTTAATTACAGTAAATGTTATAATTCCTATTTTTAGTTCAGAAATAGACAGCCCAATATAATAT